GGGTCGCACGGGAGGGAGGAGGAGGAAGGAGGAGGAAGGAGGAGGAGGAGGAGAGAGAGAGAGAGAGTGTGTGTGTGTTTTCATAGATTTAAAAATTAATTTCGAAATAATTACGATTGTGCCACTGAGTTGGTTTTGATCGTAACTTCCTCGTTACAACTCCGATTCGAGCCCACTACATGTCTACGGACTCATCTCGGTACGATCTACGCAATAGTACCAGTCATTTTCCCAAATCCCTTCCGGATTAAAAAGTGACCATAATACCCCTACCCCCAACGGCAAAAAATTGGAATTTCAAATTTTATTAAATTAATTAAATTAACGGATAATTATATTTTTGGGTCGGGATGTCACTTTTTTTTTTTTTGGCAAGAGACAAACTTTCCGTGTTTATCAAATATTTTTACTCACCACCATTCTTAACACTTGACGCTTGTCCATAAACATAATAGTTAACTCTTTGCTTTATATTTGTGAAAATAATAAGATTACGCTTATCAACACGTGTCATGTGTTGAGAAGAGCGGTAATAATATACCTTAGATTAAAGTGGTGACCAAAAATACATTCAATGTTTTGGGGCATGTGTCACTTGACCGGGTTTTCATGGTACACTTATGTGGGGCTGCTCTATTTTGTTGTCTCTTTGTCTTGAGGAGGAATTTGGGGAGCTGAGAGGACAGCTGCTATAGCATGGTTTCTTCACGCATAAGGCTGTTGGATGGCAACTCCCCTTACACTTTGGCTGAAGATAGAAATAAAATAATGGAGAAGAAGATAAGAAGAAAGGAATAAAAGACCTTAAAGCAACAAACGTATGATAAGGATCCGAAGAAAGGAATTATCTCATTTCGAAATCTAAAAAAGTAAATGTGCTTTGTTTAGTGAACTGGGGCAAAGCATCAGCTATTGCGTAAGCATTGGTTTATTAGACTTCACTTTCTCCGTGTATAAATTTTCTTCCACTGGTTTCTGCACTTATTTAATATTTCCTTGTTAATCTTTGACATTCCTCTTGAAGCTTTTCAGCCAATCGAGAAAATTAGTAATGGCAGAAGATAACCATGCAATTGGGATTGATCTGGGGACAACTTATTCGTGTGTGGCAACGTGGCAGGCTGATCATGTAGAAATCCTGGTGAACGATCACGGTAACAGGACAACTCGTTCTTATGTTACATTCACTGATAATAAGAGGTTGGTAGGTGATGAAGCATTTAACCAAGCCGGGAGATTCCCCACCAACTCAATCTTTGGTAAGAATAAAATTATCAACAGTATAATTTTTCATTGTTTCCTTGTTAATTTCGTTAGAACTGAGAAATATATACTTTGTTTTTTTAGAGCGATTCTGTAAAAGTGGGGTTATTATGCATGAATCCATAAATTAATTGTTTCCGGACACAATCTAAACTGGGAATGATTTACAGATGCGAAGCGGTTAATTGGTAGGAGATTCAGTGACCAAACTGTTCAAAGTGATATCAAGCGCTGGCCATTCAAGGTCATTGAAGGTAAGGCTGACAAGCCCATGATTGTGGTTAACCACAAGGGCCAAGAGAAACAGTTTGCTGCTGAAGATATCTCATCAATGGTTCTGGCAAAAATGCGGGAGATTGCGGAGGCCTTCCATTGCTCAAAGATTAGTGAGAAAAATGCAGTTATCACTGTCCCCTCTTACTTCAACGACTCTCAGCGCCAGGCTACATTAAAAGCTGGGAAATTAGCCGGCTTAAATGTGCTGCGTATTATCAACGAACCAACTGCTGCAGCCATAGCTTATGGTATCGACAAGAAAGCCGGTTGGTTTAATAAGAGAAAGGTGATGATATTTGATTGGGGTGGTGGTACATTGGATGTGTCGCTACTAACCATAGGCCATGGTGTCTTTGACGTGAAGGCGACTGCCGGAGACACTCACCTTGGAGGTGAAGACTTGGATAACAGAATGGTAGATTACTGCGTCGACGAATTCAAGACAAAAAATAAGGTGGACATTTGTGGAGACCCCAAAGCTCTTCGGAAGGCCAAAACCGCGTGTGAGAAAGCAAAGAAGGCACTTTCATTTTGCTTTGACATTGATATTGAAATCGACTCTTGGTATAAGGGTGAAGATTTTTATACAACTTTCACCCGGGACAAATTCGAAGAAATGAACATGGATATCTTCAACAAGTGCATGGTGCTTGTGAAAAGGTGTTTGGAGGATGCCAAAATGGGCATAAGAGAAGTCGATGACGTTGTTCTTGTTGGTGGTTCTTCTAGAATCCCCAAGGTGCAAGAGCTATTGCAGAAGTTTTTCATGGGCAAGGAGTTGTGCAAGAGCATTAATCCCGATGAGGCCGTGGCTTATGGAGCCGCTGTTCAAGCTGCAGTCTTGAGTGGGAACGTGACGGGGAAGCTTCAAGACTTCACACTCTTGGATGTCATCCCAATGTCACTTGGGACGGAATGTGGTCATGAACACCATATGGCCGTCATGATCCCAAGAAACACCAAAATTCCCACAAAGAAGCACCAAATTTTCGTTACAACTTGTGACAACCAAAGGGCCGTCCTCTGTGGAGTTTTCGAGGGAGAGAATGAGTTCACCAGAGATAATAATTACTTGGGTGGATTTACCATGGATGGCATTCCTCCAGCCCCTAAGGGAGTTGGTAAAGTAGATGTTTGCTTTTCTATCGATGCAAATGGAATTCTGAATGTTTCCGCTGAGGTCATATCCACCGGCCAAAAGAGAGCCATTACAATCAACAGTGACAGATGAACTTGCGGAATTAACAGATAAATTTTTAACTAATTAATGCGCAGGTTGTGTTGTTTTGGATGAGTGATGCTGTAGGCTGGTCCGTCTACCGTTGCGTGGATTTTATTCTTGTTTTCAATAAGAGAAGAGAAGTGCTTGCTTAATTACTGTAACTATGTAAGTAATAAATTATATATGTTTTATTTGATTGGAGTTCAACTTTAAGTTGTTTGTTTGTAAACATCATTTTGTAAAATCTTGTCCTAAAAAACTAAAAATACCAATTAATTACACCAACTTTTTGACACAAGCAAGAACCAGTTGAGTGGAGAATAGTTTTGATTTGTAGACCAATTGTCTCAAGTTTGAATGAAAGATTGTCTTGGCGTTCAAAATGTAATAAATTGGTGCCTCTATTATTACTGAATAACATGTAAACTATACTATAGTATCCAGTATCTCAAACTAGGAAGCATCATAATTTTTTTTATTTTTAAATTACAAATTTCTGAGGGTCTTTCTCCTTCCCTGTAAACGTATACTTTAAGAGTGTCCTCCATTAATTCATAGCTTCTGCAAATTAGATGATAGTTTCACTTCAGCAGTAGTAGTTGATTGTGTGTGTAGTTACAACTTGCAGCTTATGAAATTCTTTGAAAGAAATAGGATGATTTTTAAATGAGAAAAGTTAAAGGAAATGAAATCATTAAACCTTATCAATGGACCTAGGTAAATATTATTAGCTCTCAAAATCCAGCCCATAATAAATTACATAATTTTTTTTATTTTTAAATTTGAGTTTTGTAGAAAATGTTTTGTTTTTTCCTGTTGTGCCAAAAAAGCATTCAAGTTAGTGATGGGACCGAGTCAGCAACTATGACATTGATATACTTGTAATTTCCTTGATAATGAATTTGGATATATTTGTTTGAGTATTTATCGCATGGTTCTTTAAAAAAAAATACAAAGAATACTTTAAGCAAATCAAACCTTCTTAAAGAAAAATAAATAAAACAGCCCATAACATTTCATCTGTAAAAAGAAAAAAATTGTAAGATTCATGTGTCCGTTGATTATTCCCATGGGTTAGAAAATGGCCACATATATAGCATACTTCTGTTCAAATCCGTTATGACTCAAGTGCAAGGTGTCTCGATTTCATGGTTGTACAATGAAATTTGGGTAAAAAGTAAAAAAGACAGTTAGAAAGATAGGATGATGGCGCAGATACAAGAAACTATTAAATTATTTTTTACTCATTCAAGTAAAACTTTTAGGGTGCCGGGAGCATTTTTACACGGATAATACTAGACTTATCAAATTCTTATATCACATTGTGTATCACCTCTTTAATAGAGATGGAGCCTACTGAATAATGCTACTCTTACCATATTTATGTACTACATTCATATACCACTTTATGTGACAGATGAGGTGGACAACCACATCAATTAAATTGGCTTTGGCTTGAAGTAGAAGTTTCATCGCTTGGGGTGTGTCTTTTCTTTTCTTTCCCTTTCTGGTTAATATTGTGTCAAATATAATTTCCCTGAATAATGTTTTTGGTAAGATGCTCTGGATTAAGTAATACAAAAAATTGGGTTTCTTTTTCTTTTGAGAGAATTATTTGACTATAGCCGTTGTTCTTTTGTTTTTCCTCTCTTAGTTGTTGCTGCAAAGAATGTGAAAGAGGGAGAGATACGGATGGATTCCGAGTCTTTATATTTAGTATCGGTGCATTTATCCACATTTAAGACTAAAGGAGATTGTGGGGAAGAGCGAGAGATTGCGGGGAAGGGAGAGAGGCCGAAGTATAGAGGAAGAGATGGGCACACGGTGCAAAAGGAGAGTTTTAATCTAATTCAATTATGATGAGTTGAATAATTAATTTTCATTAGACCAATTAAATGGTTAAGATTGTCTTAAATGTGTGTAAATGCACCGATGCTAAATATAGAGACTAGGGATTCGGAGAGATACGGACTGAGGGAGAGAGTTTAGGCAGTGGCGTATGGTGCCGCTATTCAAGCCGCAGCCTTGAGTGGGAATGGAAAGGGGAAGTTTATTCAAGACTTCACTCTCAAGGATGTCACTCCTCTGCCGCTTGTCATGGAGGGTACAGATGTTAATGGTTTGAAAAAATTCATGAATTTGATTCCAAGCAA